ACCTGGGTGAACTGCGCAGCTACCTTGGCTTGCAGATCACCCGGGACAGAGCACGCCGCACCATTACCTTGACTCAGTCACACATGGTGCAGCAGGTCCTTCAGCGCTTCGGCTTCACGTACTCCTCGCCTCAGGCCACTCCTCTGCCTACTCGCCACTCGCTCTCACCTCTGCCTTCGGATGAGTCCGTAGAGTCGAGTGGCCCGTATCCAGAGCTTGTTGGCTACCTCATGTACCTGATGACCTGCACTCGACCTGACCTTGCATACCCTCTTAGCATTCTCGCACCCTATGTTGCTCCTGGGAGACACCGACCAGAGCACATGGCTGCAACGAAGAGGGTGTTGCGCTACTTGTGCAGTACGTCGGGCATGGGGCTAGTGCTTGGAGGGCGGAGTCTAGTGGTCCTCACTGGGCACACGGACGCTTCTTGGGCTGACGACCAGGCTACGCAGCGGTCGTCACAGGGTTACACCTTCAGCCTCGGTTCCGGCTTTGTTTCGTGGCGGGCTACCCGCTCGTGTTCTGTTCTCGGCTCCAGTTGTGAGGCTGAGATCTACGCCGGGGCTATGGCTGCCCAGGAGCTTCGCTGGCTCACCTACCTGCTTACCGACCTTGGAGAGCCGCCTCGTTCTCCTCCAGTCCTGTACGTAGATAACAAGGCCATGCTAGCCTTGTGTCGAGAGCAGCGACTGGAGCACAGGACAAAGCACATTGCTCTCCGCTACTTTCTTGCTCGTGAGCTACAGCAGCGTGGACAGTTGCGGCTTGCGTACGTGGCCTCTGAGGCCAACACTGCTGATGTCTTCACCAAGGCACTTGCGCCTTGTGATCATCAGCGCTTCTGCACTCAGTTGGGTCTTGTGCCTGTCTTGTCTCACTTGCTCTCTTTTTGACCTTCTTGTACTGTCACTTATATATACTCTTGCTTTGCTTGCTTAGCATCTTGTATATCTATATATATGTGTTCTTGCATGTGAATTGGCCTTTTGGCCTTTGAACTTGTGCTCGAAATGTGTGGTAACTTTTTGATCCACCCTGAGCTTTGCCTTGCTTTGCTTGACTAGTCTTGTGACCCCTTGTTCTCCCCCACTTTGCCTATGGGGGTGTGTCAGAACATTATAGCTTACTTATTTGTGCAGGCTATAGTGGGGTATCCCATAGGGGGTACAACCCAATTAGGGTTTCCTATATGTACTCACTTCATTCATAGTCATTTCATTCTCGTTCTCATTTTCACACTGTTTCCTTTGAGTGGACGTCGAAGATTTTCCACGCGTTGTAATTCTTTTCGATGCCGAGGTGTAGTCCCCACTGTGCCCGTTGTGAAAATCTTCCCGCTCGTGCTTCTGGGGGTCGGTACTGTACCATGCATCCGAAAACTCGTAACATTTTTGTGCTGCCCTGCTTCCTTGTCCACAGTAGATGCGGTGATGCGTTGTTCGGGAGTGACGACGACGACAGCAAGTTGTGCAGCATGACAGCATGGTCCATTGCTGCAGGCCACTGGTGGTTGGGTAGCCGCATGCCACGTAGCAGTTTGCGCATGCTGTTCTGCAGAGTCCTGTTCATTCTTTCTGCGACACCTTGCTGCTGATGGGCGTAGGGAAGGGAGAGGAGTTGCTTGATTCCCCTTTCCGCCAAGTACTGCTTGAAGTGCTGAGAGGTGTATTCTCCTCCTCCGTCTGACTGGAAGCTTTTCAGCTGTGTTCCTGATTCCCTCTCTGCTACCGGTAGCCAAGCGGCGAACGCTGCGAGTGCCATGTCGCGGCTGGGTAGGTTTCGGTGCCAGACGTATCGAGTTGCGGCATCGATGAATGCTATCGTGTAGTTGTAGGTAACTTGTCCTGGTTCGCGATTGAAGAGGATGTCACTGTACACTTTCTCGAGTGGTGCGTATGCAGGTGCGCTCGGGTTGTGGTGAGAAGCAAACGGTCGATGTGGTAAGTCGGCTTCGGGTAGTAGTAGTGAATCCTTGTCTAAGACTCCTGATCGTATCGTATTATTTAACACTGTGTTGCTTGGATGTCCTGTGCGTGCGTGCCAGATGTCTTCAGGAGCGCGATGTCTAGGTGAGCGTTGATACGCGTCGGAGTTGGAGTAGAAGCTGGCGACGACATTGGCGCTTCTGTGGACTTCTCGTTGAGTCGGGTTCAGCTGCTGTGCGGGTGTTGGTGGTGCTTCGTCGACGAAGACTGGTGTCGTTGGTGTTGCTGCTGCCGATGATGTTTTTGCTGCTGCCGATGTTGTCTCTGCTGCTGCCGATGTTGTCTCTGCTGCTGCCGATGTTGTCTCTGCTACTGCCGATGTTGTCTCTGCTGCTGCCGTTTGTTGAATCGTTGCTAGCTCTCGTGTTCGTTCTGCTTCAGGGATGGTGTGCGAGTACCAGCCTACCGGGCTGAAGTTGGGATCGAGATCTAGGGGATGTGTCCAATCGGCGAAGTTGACGATGGCGTCGCTATCTGCAGTGCCCAGGTCTGGGACGAAATCAAGGACGAAGACATTGTTCTTCAAAACTGCCCTTCCGATGTAGAGGCCGCCCTTCCCGTGGTACAGCTTGAACTCCTGGGTGGTGCTGTCGGCTTCCAAGTGGATACCTTTCGCCATCAGCTGGCTGACACTCAGTAAGTTATAACCGAGTCCCTCCGCGATAAGTACCTTTGACATGTGTAGTATAACGTTTGTTTCTCGTGACTGAAGTTGTACAACGCCTTGTCGTCGTGTGCGCAGGTTCTGATTGTTGGCGACCGTGATGACTACTTCTCGCTGGAGTCGATGTTCGCGTTGAACGAAGCGTCCTGAGGAGCACATATGTTGTCCGCAGCAACTGTCCAAGAACCAAGTGTCTTGGCCAGACGGTTCGCTTTGAGCGATGGCGGCGTACGTCGGGTTCGGCTGGAGTGACTCGCGGCGAGGCGTGCTGTTGTCGAGCTCTTCTTCCAATGAGTAGTGAGGTGGTGACTCTGTTGTGCAGGAATCGGTTATCTTCACCATGCAATTGACAATGTTTCTTGCTCCTTGTGCAGATTGTCCAGTTGAAGTCGTTGAAGCTTGGATTGTCGGATTTGCTTGCGTCGAGGCGACTTGGGAGCTTGAAGGCCGAAGTTGTCGCTGTGGTGTGGTCGACTGCTGACGAGACGGGCAGTTTGTACAAGGATGTCCCGAGGTTTTGCAGATGTGGCAGAACGGAGGTACTGTCTTCACTTGTTGCTGTTGCCGATTGTTGTTGCTGTTGTATCGTCGTTGAGTGTGAAACGCAAACTCCGGTACTAATGTTTTCTTCTTGTGTCTTTCTTCTTGCAGGTCCATGTCCTGCTGCTCGGCATGAATTTCGGCGCAGAGTGCCGCTTCGGAGATCCTCCCGTGTGCTCGTAATATGGCGCGAGTGGAGCGCTAGTGGGGGCCGAGACCGCCGATGACCACCGTGACAAAGGCGTCTTCTGAAATCAACCCTCCGCATCGAAGAAGCTTGTCGCGCAGTTCCCGGCAGCGGCTGATATAAGCCATGCCTTTCTCGCCTGGTTTCATTTCAATTGTTGTCAGCTGCGCCATTATCCGGCTTTGATTTACGCTGTCTGTTGCTTGATACAGGTTCTTCAGGTGGTTGTACGCGAGCTCCGCGGAGTTGCCGTACCCTCGGTAAGTCCTGATGTTCTGCTGCTGGGTCGGGGTGATGTTTCTCAGCAATATTGTGTGCGCAATCATTGATTGATAGGTGTACTGCTGCTTCTCATATTGCGTCCCGTTTGTTGGATATGGCAGGGACCCGTCGAAGAAACCGAGAATCTGTGCTCCTTCCATCATCAGCTCGAACTCGAACGACCAGGTGAAGAAGTCTATTCCGTCGAAAGGCTTTGTCGTTTGCAGCTTTAGGACATGCGCGAATTGCGATTGAACTTGTAATGCGTCCAGTCCTCTTTCTTGTCCCGGTGCAGATTGCGGTTGCGGCATGAAGCTGGCGGAGCCACGCTGGGGCTCGTACGGAGCAAAGGTAGGCTGTTGTTGTTGTTGTTGAATCCCGCGTGCGTAGGATGAGCCGTCGAGACTCATAGGAGTCACGTTGTTGTTGCTGCTGTTGTTTGACTGCGTAGGTACTCCTTGCTGGTGCTGCTCGTAGAAGGACATGAAGGAGAAAAAATTCTCCATCATGCTTGGATCGAAGCCCGCGGGCGTTTCCGTAGACCCAGCTGCTGGTCTCGTGGTAGTCCCTTCCTCTGTCTGTAGGCCAGAGACAGGAGGTGGAGTAGGAGTAGTGCCTGGAGAACCGTTGGAGGAGCTCCTCTCCTTCCTAGTAGACATGTCTTCTTGTATTGAGTGTTAAAAGAAAAATGACTTAGAACTCTAACTTGCTCTCATACTATGTTGGGCTGAGGTGCCCTAGGATCTTTGTAGAGTTAAAGTCTTAGTACCGTAGGATGATGTAATAGCGGAAGAATTGAATGAAAAGTCCTTGAACCACCTTGCGCTAGTATGTGAGGGCAAAGTAAGTTGATTAAAACAAGCAAATACAAAGCTTTATATAAGAGTACAAGGAATACGAATAGATTTATTTAAACTGTTTTGCTGTTGCGATTCGATACAGTGCGACTCGGGCAACTGCTCAATGTCGAGTCAGTTGTGTGTCCTTGCTGTCGCGCTGTATTTGTCAAGTCAAAGGTCGCTTGACTTTTGACCTTCTCGTAACCTCCAGCGTTTACCCTAACCTCCGAGGGTTGACTCGTGAAGCTTCGATTTGAGCTGCTTTGCTTTGTGTCCTGAGTTTCGACACGACAGAGGCGCTTAAGACTTGTTATTCCCAATACACAGTTCCAGAAGGTGCAAGGCAATTCTCGCTCATTTCCTCCATTGCTTTGTAACACACAATCGTTTGTGAACTACTACAGCATTGTACCTTCATCGCACTGTTAGAGCGTATTCCTACACCTCGTATCAAGCGAACCTCTTATCAGGCTCACACTGAAAATCCCCCTAAATCCACAAGAACGATTGCAGCTATACCACTAGAGTGGCCCTGGAGTCACAACTACTGCAGGGAAAGTGTCCTGAATAAACCCTTCAACATCTTCTGCTCCTACTGCAATCTTCTGCAGGTACGGAAGGCCCTTGAGCCAGCTAACACCACGCGCAGTAATCCTAGCATCCTGCATCCCCAGCTTCACCAACAGCTTCATATTCCTGAGATACTTCATACCAGAGTCAGTCACTCCAGGAGGCAGAATGAGGTTATTCAGCGAGGTGAGGGTTGTCAGATGCACCAACCCATCCTCCCTCACTCCCCCCTTGTGCAGTGTAAGCGCTCGTAACGCTGTCAGCCTCCCCACATGCACCATACCGGCAGAGGTAACCGACGGACACCTGCCAAGGTGCAGCTCCGTGAGTGCAGGCAACCCCTCCTGCCTGGCAATACCAGCATCCGTGACTGGGCTGTTGTCAAGAACAAGCGCCTGCAGGCTCGTCACGCGGTCGATACCTTCAAGAGCAGCATCTGTGCATGAGCCCATGAGATTTAGATACTCGAGTTCTGGCAGGGAGTAGAGCTGCCGCACCCCCGCAGCAGAGAAACCTGAGGATTTTCTGAGGTTTATGGAGATGAGGTGGTGGAACGAGGCGAGGCGAGCGAGAGCCGCGTCTGTGAGGCAAGAGATGCGGCTGAGGTTCATTGTTGCATGCTGCTGCGGGGATGTTCTGGCCCAGAGCGTGAGCAGCACCTGCAGGCACACAGCATGGGTGGGTGGCAGTCAGCAGGAGTGAAGAGGGTTGAGAGGGGTGAGAGGGGTGAGAGGGGTGAGAGGGACAAGATTCGTGTGTACTACCTACTACCATCAACGTTTCCCATGTGCTGCTGCTGTGCATGCTCCCACGTGCCCGTATGCATGTCCTCCTCACGCATGCCACATTGCCAAATTGTCCGACCATTTGAAGAACTTGCATCATACATGCTCACTCACTCTCATACGTGTCACTTTGCCAGTGGTGGCAGCACCTGTCTCTAAGAGAGAAACAAAAAGGCATGCACTCACCTCCCATACCCTCCCTCTGTCAATTCCACTCTCCTCCACATTCACCACTCTGCGCAGCAGCCCATCCATCGCCGTCTGTAGTCCCGACAGGGCTGCCTTGGTTTCTCCCTCATCGCATTCTCCATCACAGGCAACGGGATTGGCAATGAGTGCGCAACCGCCCGCAGCAGCATGTGCCATCTCCTCCGCCTTCCCCGCTTCATCCCGCTTCCGCTTCTTCCCCTCGGGCGTCCCCGCTCCCGCGACTTCTTCCGCGCGCTCCATCTCCGCGCGCGCCTTCTTCCGCGCGCTCTTCCACTCCACCACCGCCAGCTCGACTTCGTTCATCCGCGCCTCGGTGTGCGCCGCCGTCGAGCGCACGTACGCCACTTCCGCCGCCTGCCGTTCCGCCGCAGCCCTCATCCGCGCGATTTCCGCCTTCAGCACGCCCACCGCGTCTGCCGCCTCCCTCCGCACCGCCTCCATCTGCTCCTTCAACCCCTCCACCTCCGACTCATACTCACTTCTTACTCCAAGTAACGGCGGGACAATTATGTTGCTCCGCTCAGAAATCTGCGCCGGGAGGCTGTCCCCTGCTTCCCCTGCCGCCGCACTCTCCGCCCCGCCCTTGCCCTTCGCCGTCTCCCCTTGGCTGCCCGTCGCCAACGCATCTTTCGCCGCTGCGCCCTTCGCCGCGTCGGCATTCGCCATCGCGCGTTTCATTTCGTCCACCTCTCGCTTGAGAGCAGCCGTGGCCTCCTCTTGCTGCGCCAGCTTTGCCGCTAGTTGCTCTACTCGCTCCGCCATTCCTCCTTCTGCCGTCTCCCTCACCATCCCACCCACGACCTCCCCCGGTCGCACCTTCACGGGCACTCCGCTCACCATCTGCGCCATGCCTCCCGCCATCGCCATTAGCAACATCGGAACCTATACCTGTGTGTCAAACAGCATGCCATCCAGTGGCTTGATGTTTGATAGGCATCGCTGGGGAAGTTTTCGCGATGCCTGGGACTGGCGTGTTGCAATACACACTTACAGCGTGTCACCTGCAGGTTGATTTCAACATCCCATGCGGCATCATTCCCAACCCCAGGTTTCGCTCCACAATCGAACTCGCCATTTCCCAAAGCGCGCAAGTACTGTACAAAGCCAATTGCGGAAAAGGGTTCGGTACTTTTTTTTTCCGGGTCAAGAGTTTCGGGTTGATGCAAAACATTTGTGAATAAATCGAAGCGTGACTGTTCGCAATCAAGTGACTCTACATTTTTCTAATATAAGCCTACGAAACAGTTTGAGAATTGAAATGGTGAATCATTGTTTTCGTACATAAACTCAAGCTAGCTTACAACGGATCGTTTCGCGGCCGAGGCGGCGGTACTGTAGCTTTGTGGTTACCGAATGGCTGTTACGGTTTTCCATTTATTATGTTACATTTGTAACCGTATTAACATTAGTCACCGTGGTTACCAAGAGTTCGAACAATTTATTTATTTCTTCATTACAGCAATCCGTACAAACTAATAATTGTCCTGGGGACGTAAACTGGGCCAGTTTCAATTACGAATTTAGCAACAGCAGCATTAAATAGAACCTGCACCACGACCAATACAGCAATTTGGACATACACGGCACGATAAATCCAAATTTTAAATAATTGACGTCAACTCAACGAGCAGAAAACCAGCATTACATCACTATTGCGACCTAAAACAGGTACGTCCACGATCATGCATATTAGCAAGACTCCGGTCAAAACTCACTAATAGCAAACACACAGAGCGACAACCACCTGCCGTGCGGATCGCCGGGAATTCCGCAACCTGCAAAAAGAACACAGTTAGAAGAAAACAGCCTCACCACGGGTTGAGAAGCCTATGAAGACTCTTGTCATACGATTCCTGCGCAGTAAAGAGAGACAGAACACAAGCAAAGCGAGAAAACATTACGTCGCGCGGGCGCATTATGTAGGATGGAAAATCAGTATAACACCGTGCAGAACTGCGCGACAACAAGGGAAACATTTTAGTGGTGAATGCATTTGAGTAAGACGCACAAGTGCTGAACATACACAAAAAGCGAACGCAAAACAATGAATATGCACCAGAGAGTATCCTGGTAACGGCAAGGGGAAGGGCAGAAACCGAAAGGAAGGCGGCAAGGGAAACGGCGGCGGAAGAGACAACAGGAAGGGCGGAAGCGGAAAGGGCGGCGGGATCGGTGGCGGAATTCTGGGAGCGCTGACTGGCGGAAACTCGACGAGCGGATGGGGCGCGGGAGGCATAGGGCTGCTACGACTGGCACCGCAGCGCTGACGCTTGTCAAAGCAGAAAAAAGGCCGCAGAAGTGGAAATGGCGAGTTATTGGGAGTGAGGGCTGAAGTTTTCTTGATTCGAACTCAGATAAGCAAGAGCCTTGGTGCTCTAGCGGGGTGGTGAGCAGGGCAACTTCGCTGCTGTGCTGGTTCACCAGGCAAGCTTCAAATTGCGAAGCTTGCAAGGTGACAACGGTTGTGATTCGTCGCCTCGATGGCTCACCCGCCGCCACCTCTCATATCGTCAAAGAAGGATGTGCACCAGCTGCGGTGGCAAAAGCGTGAGCAAGGATTGGTTGCAAAGGAAATTGCCGCGACAGCTGTCAAGTGTAGCCTTACAACATTTCAGCTACCCAGAGGAGGGTCGCGTGGATATCTCGTCAGTAACAAGCAGAAGAGTCAAGATGTACAATATTGTGTGCTTACATACAGATTACATTTCAGAAGGTGTCTCACAGACATTCCATATTGAAAGCCACAGAATTGGCTAAGTGTTGGGATTTTTTTTTACGGTGTTTTTTTTAATGCTCATTATTTATTTATGTATCCTTTACCATACTACAATCGAAAACTTTGCAAAACAACACTTTTAAGAGTGGTTTGTGGCTCCAAATGCCCGCCTATTCAATACCTTTCAAGGGTGGTAACCACTTGGTGTGTGGTCCAAAACATCATTTTGATGGCTCTACCGTTTCCCTTGGACCTCCTCTACTGTTCAGGAATGGAAAGTTTTTTTGGTGAAATTCGGTGAAACCAACATATCAAGCTATACCAACAAAGCTCCTAGCACTTGACAACTCATTCTCTGGCTATCATTAACATGTGTTAATTTCAAGGATGTTAATTTGGGGTTCAGAACTATGTGCTGCGTCTATGACCTACTATGGTGGCAGTCTTCATCCATATGTTTGGTTGTTTCACTACCGTGCATGATATTTCGACGAAATTGCATGTTTTTACGACAAACAAGCGTCACGTGCTGTGTAGTTGTGCGAATGAACTCAAACCAGTTCCTATGGCTAGTGAAATGGATAAACTAGGGAAATGTGTGAAGAAATAGTGCTAAAAACAACATATAGACGATGAAACAGTGACATGTTGCGTACTGGCCTATCCTTGCACAGATTCAGGCCATCAAACGTGCAAACAAGCGTCACGTGCTGCGTAGTTGTGCGAATGAACTCAAACCAGTTCCCATGGCTAGGGAAATGGATAACCTAGGGAACTGTGTGAAGAAATAGGGCTAAAAACAACATATAGGCGACGAAACGGTAGCATGCTGCGTACTGGCCTATCCTTGCACAGATTCAGGCCATCAAACGTGCAAACAAGCGTCACGTGCTGCGTAGTTGTGCGAATGAACTCAAACCAGTTCCTGAGGCTAGGGAAATGGATAAACTAGGGAACTGTGTGAAGAAATGGGGGTGGAACCATCACCCAGACGGTGAAACGGTGACATGTGGCGCACGGGCCTGTCTTTGCACAGTTCCCTGGCATCGTACGCACAAACAAGCGTCACGAGCTGCGTAGTTGGTCGAACGATGCGAAACAACTTCCTTTGGCCTTGTAATAGGTCCTTTTAGGAAACAGTGTGAAGAAACGGGGGTGGAACCATCAACCAGACGACGAAACGGTGACATGTTGCGTACTGGCCTATCCTTGCACAGTTCCAGGCCATCAAACGCACAAACAAGCGTCACGTGCTGCGTAGTTTGTGCGAATGAACTCAAACAAGTTCCTATGGCTTGGTAATTGTTCCTACTAGGGAACAATGCAAAGAAACGGGGGTGGAACCATCATCCAGATGGTGAAACGGTGACATGTTGAGCACGGGCTTGTCTTTGTACAGTTCCCTGGCATCGTACGCACAAACAAGCGTCACGAGCTACGTAGTTGGGCGAACGATGCGAAACAACTTCCTTTGGCCTTGTAATAGGTCCTTCTAGGGAACAGTGTGAAGAAACGGAGGTGGAACCATCAACCAGACGACAAAACGGTGACATGTTGCGTACTGGCCTATCCTTGCACAGTTCCAGGCCATCAAACACACAAACTAGCGTCACGTGCTGCGTAGTTGTGCGAATGAACTCAAACAAGTTCCTATGGCTTGGTAATTGGTCCTAATAAGGAACAGTGCAAAGAAACGGGGGTGGAACCATCACCCAGATGGTGAAACGGTGACATGTGGCGCACGGGCTTGTTTTTGCACAGTTCCCTGGCATCGTACGCACAAACAAGCGTCACGAGCTGCGTAGTTGGGCGAACGATGCGAAACAACTTCCTTTGGCCCTGTATTAGGTCCTTCTAGGGAACAGTTTGAAGAAACGGGGGTGGAACCATCAACCAGACGACGAAACGGTGACATGTTGCGCACGGGCCTGTCTTTGCACAGTTCTCTGGCATCGTACGCACAAACAAGCGTCACGAGCTGCGTAGTTGGGCGAACGAGGTCAAACGAGTTCCTATGGCTTGGTAATTGGTCCTACTAGGGAACAGTGCAAAGAAACGGGGGTGGAACCATCACCCAGACGGTGAAACGGTGACATGTGGCGCACGGGCCTGTCTTTGCACAGTTCCCTGGCATCGTACGCACAAACAAGCGTCACGAGCTGCGTAGTTGGGCGAACGATGCGAAACAACTTCCTTTGGCCTTGTAATAGGTCCTTCTAGGAAACAGTGTGAAGAAACGGGGGTGGAACCATCACCCAGACGGTGAAACGGTGACATGTGGCGCACGGGCCTGTCTTTGCACAGTTCCCTGGCATCGTACGCACAAACAAGCGTCACGAGCTGCGTAGTTGGGCGAATGATGCGAAACAACTTCCTTTGGCCCTGTATTAGGTCCTTCTAGGGAACAGTGTGAAGAAACGGGGGTGGAACCATCAACCAGACGACGAAACGGTGACATGTTGCGCACGGGCCTGTCTTTGCACAGTTCCCTGGCATCGTACGCACAAACAAGCGTCACGAGCTGCGTAGTTGGGCGAACGAGGTCAAACAAGTTCCTATGGCTTGGTAATTGGTCCTACTAGGGAACAGTGCAAAGAAACGGGGGTGGAACCATCATCCAGACGGTGAAACGGTGACATGTGGCGCACGGGCCTGTCTTTGCACAGTTCCATGGCATCGTACGCACAAACAAGCGTCACGAGCTGCGTAGTTGGGCGAACGATGCGAAACAACTTCCTTTGGCCTTGTAATAGGTCATTCTAGATAACAGTGTGAAGAAACGGGGGTGGAACCATCAACCAGACGAAGAAACGGTGACATGTTGCGCACAGCCCATCCTCGCACGGATACCAAGCATCCAATGCACGAACAAGCGTCACGAGCTGCGTAGACCGAAGTAACCTATTGTGTGATTATAAAATGCTAAAAACACAATTATATACAAGAATGATGATACATCGACTACGACCAAGCATTTAATAATTTTAGAAAACGTGTCAAATAGTTAATAATATAATAAAAGTTTGCACAAAAAGCATTGGCAAGATATTGGCAATGTTCACACTAGCATTGGCAAGATATTTGTTTCACGAATATCTCAATATCCACCGAATTATAATACCATGCGGGTTGACAAAAAAATGTAACATTACCAATTTAA